GCCATATCAAATATATGAAATATATATATATATATATATATATATATATATATATACTGTAGATTTTAGAGGAGGGTAATTGCCTTAAAGTTCATCAAACCATGCACAAGCTATGAGCATTTATAGTAGGAGCATGACCCTTATATTAGGGACAAGAAAAGCCCAAAATATACAAGTTTGAATAATTTAGAGGTATCGTTTGGTACATATAGTACCAACCTGACTTGTGTGAGTAAGGCTGTGGATGGCCAGTTGACAACAGACAGTGTCCTGCTCCACTCCAGCAACTTTCCAAACCCCTTTTCTGGATATCGTCAAGCAGAGAAAGGTGAGTAGGTGGAGCACTTATACATCGCAGTGAAGCACACTCCACTGCAGATGGGTGCTTTATAGATTGTGGCTCAGCCCTTGATGTTCAATTCACATTTTCCAAAGCTCTCCGCTTCTGACCTGTCCCAATGGAGACATATCATGCACTTTCATTTTAAAGATTTAAAGGCCGGTTTGCCATCCGTCTCTCCAGATGTGCTTTGTGTCACCGAGCGAGCGTTTTTCTATCTTGGCAGACATTTTACTGCTGTTTAGCATGCATACATGTCACAAAAGGAAGTATATGGTATTAAATTGTGCCCCCATGTTTGATGACAAGCCACTGTCTGCAGCTTTACAGCCAATCAAGCTGCTTTCTCACAGGAGGGGGAAAGAGCTCTCCTGGTAATGGAGCCTCTCACTCCCGGGCACCTGCAGTTCGTGTTTTCTAGATGGATCAATATATCTGTCAAACTCTCCCCGAATGGAGGCTATTTCATGTAAGTCCTGTCATTGCTGCAGGGTGCAACATGAAAAAGTGCAAGTTCTGTGAAAGTCCCTTTGGAACTTCATATTCTAGATGACGGGGTGCATGCTGAAGGGTGAGATTTTGGGAAATAACACCTTTGAAACCTTGAAAATTTTGTAACACGTTAAAAGGCAAACCAACTGAAGCACCTTCCCACTCTGTATCTATTCCCTTCAACTGTACCAAGCTTCAAAGGGGTTGTAAGGCCAAATCGACATTGTTAATATTATATGGTGCACTACTTTGATTTTAGCTCCCTCTTTGCCGGAACAGTGGTGAAATCAGTCCACACTTCATCAAGTAAACTCTTCTGGTGGGCTCAAGGGTACTTAAGAACAGAGTGTCAGGCTAAATAATTCTGCGTCAAGGCTACATTTACTTTGATGCTTAGTAGCTATATCTGTCTGTGCTGTAGGAATGAGCATGATTATTTTCTGTTTAAGAAGATGGTATTTGAACAGGACCCTGGAGGCTGCAGATACAGTAGTATAACTTAAGATTAGGCTACTTTTACTTGAGACGTTTCCTCTGTTTTGTTTAAATGTCAAGAGGGTCTGGTTTACTGGAAAATCGTAAGTAAATTAATATTCCTTGCATGTTCTGAAAGTATAAACCCTCGTTTTTTTTACCAGATATCACTTGCGCATTTCTTTTGTTTTTAAACATTACCCACACATCCTTCAAGATTTTAACATTTGTGTTTGTATTGACCCCCGCTTCCATATCACTTTTTGCCTTGACCATACTCATTAAGCTAAACATGACTCATGTTGAGAGATTTTCCTGACTGTATATGGACTTGGAATGTGGCGATTTGTTCCACACATCACGCTTCAACACTCAACAGGGGGGTGGGGGAGGCCTTGAGAGTCATCTGTGAGTTACTTGTAGGCTTGTAGGAAAGAAATATGACTTTTAGTGAAAGCAACGCATCTGAATGATGATGTTTTTGTCAGTGTTTGTTTGCTGATCTCTCACGCGAACAGTAGGCCATATGTTCATCTCAGAAATAGTGAGGTGGAAAACCTCATTGGACGTTTTGTCATAGACACTTAGATGTGCGTGCATTGTGTGACCTGAAAATACTCCAGTGTAGCTGCCCCCAGGCGACTTCAGGGGCGTGTTTGTTTATCGGAAACAAGGATAGAAATGGAAACCAGGGGCTGGATGACAGGTGATGGAGTTGCACACGTGCTGTAATTGAGTGTTCTCGGGGGGTCAGTGGGTGGGTGGGGCTTGCACAATATGGTCCAAATGCACATGCAAGCCAGACTTGAGGATTGCATGTATATTGGTCTCTAAAGCTGTCTGTAGCAACAACTGTAGAAGCCATATCTGTACGGGAAGGAGTTTAAGTTTAACATCTATGGCTTAAGAACCTTCTTGTAAGAGTAAAGAGTTCAGACTGCCATGTCCTTTTTTAAAGGCTTGCCAAAACCAGAAATACAAGCGATGGTGTCAAGAATTAAATCAGTGTTAATCTGCTCTATGTTAAGATGCAATTGTTAGCTTGTCCAGCTAACTAGCTTAGCGTAGCTTAGCATTTCTAAACAATTTAACAAGCAGCATATAATTACCAACTATTTTTTGCGGGGTTACAGGTTATGTTCACATGTCAAAACATGATGGTACTCATATTTCTACGCTACCACATACGTATAGAAGGTCCCAGGGATGCAGTTCTTCTCGACTTGATGGGGCAATGTATACTCCTGCTGTTAAATGCCGGAAGACAAAGTGTTGCTGTACATGTGTATTTCTTATTTTGCACACAGTGCAGCCATCGTCAACTCTCTCCGCTGTTTGTTTTCACTCTGCTGTGTGTGTGTGTTGGCGCTCAGCCCCGCCTGCGGTGGTGTTTCACTGCGGGCGGGGCTGAGCTGCTGCTCAGAGGCGAGACAGACAGTGGTGGAGAGTTGCACACTCACCACGCCGCTAAAGGTGAATCAACAGACCCACGACCAAAAATCCAAGAAGAGTATTTTATTAATGTAATCCGCACATAAGGTGTACTGACGGGGAAAAACAAAACACTCAACAGAATGCTGCAGGACACTGGTAAAGGGAGAGAAATTTACTGCAGACAGGGACAAAACTTAAAAAGTTTACAGAGAGAAAAAGCCATTTTATAGCCTACTTTGTTATTAAGTAATCTATAAAAAACAGTAAGCAACAGTTTTGTTCTTAATACAATGCAGTTTTGGGTTTTGCAGGTTTTTGGGGCAGGGCTCGGTATCAGCAGATGCTCAATATTAAATAGGTATTGGGGGCAAAAAAACTTAAGTAGATGCAGTATTAAATCATTATCAGACCATTTCTGGTGTTGTGACATCCCTACATCATTCATTTCCTGTCAAAGTGTGTTTTTCTCCAAGCAAAGTATCCAAACAGGGCTCTGCATGGAATTAAATACCTTTTCACTTTTAAATGTTCTCTTATTACACTGTACTGTATGTAATATTAGGACTAACTAGATCTAACCTGCCCTACAAAATAATACTACTCCTTTTTTCCCCCCATATCTTCGGCATACATCATAAAAAGGTGAGGATGCTATCAATTTGCCTAGACTATTATATCTTTAGTCTTTTAGGATAATATCATTGTTTCAGGATTGTTTCAAAACGAGTCAGTCTGAGTTTTCAACTAGCTCTTGCAGCTAAAGTTAATTAGTTAACTATCTAGTTATGATAAAACTGTCATTTCAGCCAGAAAAATAAACAGTCGCCAGCTTGAATTTAGAAACCTACTTCTGAAATCATTTTCTTCATAAACTGATGAGCAGTTCAATGCTAAATCAGCTACTCTTATCATTATAAACAGCCTATGTGCTTACTGGCATATCATTAGTAACTAAAGGGCGGGGCTTAGCGAACGGTCAATTAAAAAAGCAACTCTTCTTTAGGGACTACAAAACAATTTTAAAATTAATTTTCTGTTTAAATTAGTCTGTCACGTCCCCTGCCAAAGCCTATGAAAGCAAGTCATGTCACAAAGGCACTGCTACGCCCCACAGGTACCTTGTAAATTATTCACCTAATTGAGACACTGTACTAGTTCTCTGTGCTGCTCTGACCTACTAAGAAGTTTCACACGATACTTCAAGTCCTTGAATCTTTATTTTTCTCCAAGCACACTTTTTATTCCGGCCTGTGGAACAATCCCCTCACTGCTCATTCCTGTCCAGAACGTGCGTGTGCATGTGCTGGCATAACACACCGACAAGAACTCCAAGGTCAGAGTCTGCAAAGACTCTACACGGAGCAGGATTCACCAAAATAGACCTGCCTTTCTGTCAAGTGACCTGTGGAATATCAACCCCCGTTTTCAGAGCAGATTTCAGCACAATCTTATTTCACACCTGTGCCTGTCAGCCTGATGGATGTGTAATAATGAGAAACTGCACGTCAGTGTTTTCTTAAGCAAATCCACTACAGTAATACAACTGTTAACAGTTGAAAATTTGAATTAATGACCGGCTTTTCAGATGGGAGAGCTTGGCATTGATAGATGAGTGCAATTGAGGTACAGTATGGGCTAATTAGTGGATAAAATGATGCACTTGGCTAGTCTTAATGTCATCACAGACGCTGTCAGTCATTATTAATACTGACCTTGACATTTTGTTCTCACAAATCTCACCAACCTGTGCTCCGCAGTCTTCTATCTCTAGACTTTTTAATATTTACAGTGTATTTGTCACTTCGTCAACCACTTCCCTTATCTGTGTCTTAAGAGCCCATGGTGTACCATTAACGTCGTCCATTACTGTCACTCATTTTTTTAACGTTCAATTACACATGATGCGCCAGGCCCATAATGTACTGTCATTGCTGATTCATTGGACACTTTCCCCTTAATTCTCTTTTATTCCTCTCCTCCTCCTCCTCCGCTCTCCTCCTCCTCCTCCTCCTCTTGGGCCAATCAGGCCACACCTCCATGGCAACCGTCAGTGAGTGTAAAACATCCACAGATGGTGCTGAGTAGAGCAGAGCAGCAGGCGCACTACGAGATCAAGTGTAGGAGTGTGTGTTTGTTTGTGTGTCTGAGAGATAGAGAGACTCTTTGGATAACCACTGTATTTTGAAGCCAACAGAGTAGTCTGTAGTACACAGAAGAAGAGTAGGACTTTGTTTGCTCAGAGGAGTTGCAGAAAAAGTCAGAAGAAGGAGTGAATGTTGGAGGAAGACAAAAAGAGACTGAGACAAGCCCCCCCACCTTCCCCAGAGAGCAGGAGGTAAACCGCCGGTAAGCAAATATTAATGACCTGACATAAAAGCACACAACCATCCCTGTGTTTATCAAGACAGCCTTACCTTGGAGCCGTGCACCAGAGGAGCCTGGACATATATACAGACACGCGCGCAAGACGAGCCCCCCTCACTGCTCCCCACTCGCTCATGATCATCACTCCCGCCACACGCAGACACAAGGGCCACGCTGACACAGCTAGAGGAGTATAGGAGAGAAGAGGACACTCGCCCTGTCGTGGGACTTTGTCAAAGTACAAGTCTTCCTTGGATTTTTTTTTGTTGTTTTTGTTTTCACCCTGAAAGACAGAGTCGTCCTTTTGTGCTGACCTTTCCAAGGCCCCCCCCCACCCCCCTACCCCACTCCAACCCCAGGAGCAAAGATGAGCTGCAGGAAAAGGTGCAAACGGGAGATCTTCAAGTTTGCACAGTACCTGTTCAGACTCGTCACAGGCACACTCAACACCGGTAAGGCTCCTGGTGGACTGAGAGGATTTTTCCTTATCTGCGTTTCCATTTGCGGCGGTTCTCTTAAATCTGCAGTGATTTTGTGTTCTCCTCTTGGCATTTCGGTCAAACTCCTGCACTTGATTCATGTTTTGACAAAAGTAGCTCATTACAAAGTTAACATTTGACACATGGCGCTCTGTTAGGACACTTGCATACCATCAGTGCCTCACAGTATTTAGGTTGTATATACATTTATGCTTGCAAACTCTGCTAGAGCATTGTAAGGATTTCCAGAGTGGGCTTGAATTTATTACCTACTCTGCACCATCATTTGTGTGTGAGTGTGTGTGCAAATGTAAGTGTAAAAGGACAAAAGGTCAGACTATGACTAGAGGCAAAGGTGAAGTCATTAAAAAAATTATAATAATAATGTGATCAAACAGCCTCCGATGCAGTCTTTGGCTGTCAAATGCACAATTTCATGTATTCAAAAATTTGACAAACGCATTTGTTCTGTCAGCTCAACCTTGTAGTCACGTTAATCATTTTTACCACTGTAACTTTCAGATTTTGTCAAAAGTTGTCAGAAGTCCAATTTTCATGTCTACATCAGTTGTTATGGGTTTTATCTGCCCCTAAGGTTTACTTTCATAATTAAATATGTGACAATGAAAAACACAACAGTAAAAAATATAATCTGGAGCAGTATGCTGATGCTGAATCCTTTTGAAATCCTCTCCAGAAGCAGAAGTTGTTTCACACTGTATACGTACACAGTAATATCACTTACTATTTCTGTATGTACCTGTATCATGGTGCAAAGTGTAATAGATTTTGGTTTCTCCTTTGTTCTGGGCACACATGCACCAAGAGCTTTTGTAATAAGACTGAATCAATGGTATTAACAAGATTAAATCTAGGATTATAGTGGATTACTAGCAGATTATTCCATGAAGAGTCCAATACAGGATACAGGTTATCCGCAGTATCATGCACTGATCATTGGCACATGTTGCTGGTATGCATCAAAGTGGTGCTAAGGATTATTTACATACATTATCAAGACAGTAGCACGTTGCGGTTGCTTATCCTTAGACCTTACAGTTCTTTTTTTTATACAGATGCTGGGAATACACTAGTAGCATAATTAACACCTTTTGTGGTGCATGGTTCCTGTCTCGTTGCATTAAGTGAGTTCTTGAGTGAGTTGTTCATTATCACGCTGCACGAGTGAGATGGTGCTAAACCACAGAAAGGTGTTAGATGAACATACTAATAAATTCCAACGTATATTTTTTTCTAGTAGGGGCTCCTTCCAATTTGTTTTATGTTTTGCCAGAAAAGGGGGGACTTTATGTTCTGATACATTAGAGAATATTTCCATACAGCCACGATCTACTTTGTACTGTCTCCTTGACCTTAGAGACAGAGAGAACCAGTAGGGAGGTAGCTATAGAAGAGTTTCTCCATTACTGGGCTGCCCTATAAATTGTGTAGATGGCTTCAGCTTTCCAATCATACAGATAAATATAGACTTGTGGGAGATACCAAGCTTGGAGAAATTCATCTACTGTATCTGCCCAAAGGAGTATGGTGTTGGTTTCCATAGCTACCAGCAGGTCGTTTTGGTCACATTGCAATTCCCACTTGGTCATAACATGATTAGTGTATATTTGGTCATTTTCTTGTCCTCAAAGCTTTGGTTGATAAAATGTACCATTGCTTTATACTGCGCCACAGTTTTGTTTGTTGTTTGTTTGGGTGAAAGACTGCGGTCTTTTAATGTCAGTGTCAGTACTTATTAACTATTGATCACGTTAAATACAAGCCTTGACATATTTCCCTTTGGACAAAGCCCAATTACTGTAGGCTTGCTGAGTTAGAGAAACATTCTTTTTTTATTGACCAGACTGCATGAAGAATATTAGTTTGGTTGCTATTCAGTGAACCTCAGGACTAGAAAATACTTAACCCTCCATAATGATGAAAAATGGGAATGCGTATACTCATGTGTTGAATATATACAGATGGGTGTTACAGATATTTAAACAAACACAAACCTCCTAGTCTCTGGAACCCTCTCCATTCTCCCATAGGTGTTCAATTGATTCACATCATTTTCATGCTCATCAAACCATTCAATGATCCCTCGTGTTCTGTATGAATACGATCATGTCATGTTTCTCTCTTTCCTCTAATTTGTCACCCATCTGTACGTACAGAATTTTATTTAATTGGACGTGTATTGATTTGAAACCAGCATTACTGTAGCCTATTTTTCAGATTTGAACATCATAAGATGCCAAAGACCATGTCAGCATATGAAGCCGAGTATGATGTTGGGTTACGTTTGGGTCTTATCATCCTATTACGAGCTCTGTGTCCAAAAAAATAGAGAAAGACATTACACCTCTAAAATTCCAAAACCTATTATTAGTCATTCATTAGGCAATTTCCCATCGAGTGGATCCATTTCTCTATAAACACACTATATTAACTCACCTTACACAGGCTGTGCTGCAGATTAATATAAATGGAGTTTGACCATACCGAAGCTGGCTCGGACGTATTCGAGTGACCAGGGGACGAGAATGATAGATGGAGTCGGTTAGCAGACCATGGGATTTTAATTGAGATGTTCATTGTCCCAGAACAGCCTCACAATCATTGCTTCATTGATCACAGGGTTCGCCAGCACAAACACATAGTGTAAGGTTGAGGGTAATGTACATGATGTAACAGAACGAGCCTGGGCAGATTGTGCTGTACATTACATCTATAATGTCATGACTGTTTTTTGTCCTCAAAGGACTTTTTCTCTATATAGATCTATGACCAAGATATATGTCAAGGTCCAATTTTGACATTGTTATCCTGCACAGCAGTATTTCTAGTACTGATATGTATTTACATTCCGATTTGATGCCAATTTGATGTCTTGAGCACAGGAAATTGTTTATTGATCAAAACTGATTTAGAGGTACAATGGGGACAGTAGGCCACCATTCATATTCATGCCACCATCACTGCCCAGTAGGCCTTAATTTTTCAGATGTAGGAGGGAAACAAATCACAGATGCACATTATTCCAGGTTATAAATCCAAACAGCAGTGTCAGCACATATTCAATATATTGCATGTGTAACGTATTTGTTGCTCACGCCAGGGGAAATCTTCGTCTATTCCAACATTTCCAACAGCTCCTCCTTGAAAGATGGACAGGGAGAGCTACCGGTCCAGCAGAATATCCATCAGGATCATTTAGATGTCCTAAAGCTGGGTGATTTATGCTGCTTTCTTTTAAGTGACATATTCTCTATGTCTATTTGGTCTATAATCAATACCCTTAGTTGTCCAGTGAATAGGCTATAAACATGTCTTTTCCACCTCCATTCAACTAGACTGCATTGTAGTACTCACTAAATCTGCCACTTGCTCTGAATCACAGTAATACTTTTTGCAATCTTTCACGACATCTCGACAGTTTGCTTGTTCCCTGAGTGTTTGCCTGTCAGGCATCTCCGCTTCTGTAATGCATCATCCCTTTTTTTCTCATCAGGAGTCCAAGCGTTTTGTTAGACATCACAGCACATGCCCTCTCAAACCCCTGCACTTACTTTTTGGAACAAGACTGGTGAAAGTTTTTTGTCTGACTGCTTTGTGCGATCAAAGCTTTGATGAGCCTCTGAGCTTTTTAACCTGCTTGTATCGATTTTAAGTAGTTTGATTCAGCTTGTAAATGCAGTTGTTTTTTCTTTGCTGGAAATGAATATTTTCTTGGCTGTGTTGTTTATAATGGAACAATGCTGATTGTAATGTCTCTGAGCTTTCAAATTATTATATATTGGGTGCGCAGAGCTGCAGTAAATGCCAAACAAGCATTTATTTCTTCCCTCCCTTCTTTTTCTATTGCTAAATCAACTAAATGGGATTTTTTTGTTTGTTTCTCAACAATGCAAATTATGCTTGCTTGCCACCAGTGTTGGTTCCTGGGATTTCGTATATTTCACTTTAGTTACATTATTACCCGGACTGCAGTGGCAACAGGGCAAGCAGAGAGACGCCTACGCCCTTTCACCCAGAAATATTGCCAGCTTTTCTTACCCCCTATGAGGTCATCTTAGAGATGTTGTTGTCCTAGCTTGTGCTGTGTCAGACCAGGGTCCACTTCCAGAACAGTCTCTTTCACCCCTAATGGGATGGTCCCCACCAGGTGCCTCAAACAGTCCGTCTCTGTCTGTCAGAGCGATGGCTTGAGTTCAAGGTCCTTTTGAGGCAATGTAGTCTGAAAACTAGGAATAATGTCTGTCAGAGAAATTACCTCTTAATAAACCTTTTTCTGATCTACTGCTTAGAATCATTTTTAAAGTATTTATGTTGAATTATTGAAAACGTTTTTAGGCTTCTGTACTTCTACAGTAATTATAAGTTGAAAGAGGGTCTTATCTGGTGCCAAAGAAACTAAAATCAAAGAACAAAAAAATTCTCCTGCAAGAAAGAAGTCTGTTAAGTGAAGACGTGGAGACACAAGACAATGCTATAAAAAATGCACTCTGTGACTTTTCAGCATGTACTTGGGAGCACGTGTGGGGGCCTGCCCAATGACGCTAGGGCCCGTCTTTGTTTCCCTCTCTTTGGTTTCCTGATGGCTATTAGCAGGTCATGTTCCACCTGTCCCATGAGGACAGCATGTTCAAAGCCCATAATCCCTGACCAAACACTGAATATTTGATACCCACAGGCAGGTTGGCATCATGTCTGAAAGGCAAGAGAAGAGTCGCTATTTAACACTGCTTGTTTTTACTCTATTAGCTGTGGTTTCAAGTAGACAGTGTAGTCGTAATGTATAGTGTAGAGTGTCCTCTGTAGAGTGATAAAACATGGCCCATGCGGACATTTATTGTTAGCTAATGTTAGAAGTTCATTGCATCTTTACTAATAGAGAAACCTAATAACTTTGGTTTATGGATTGACTACCAGCCTTTGTGCCTCTTCTGTAATAATTTGCTAAAGTTTAT